GTTTGAAACAGTAGTACTCATTTTTTTGGGGTGCACATAACTAACTTTTCAGTTCTCTTCTAGTTTTGCAGTCTCTGAAGAAGAAAACTTTAGACTTCTGTTTCGATGTATATTTGTAGCACACTTTCGCAAATGTGCATGTTGCCAAAAACCTTCCACTCCGGTGGATTCCGAGCAGGGAGGAGGTGATAAGAAAGAATTTTTAGATTCGTTTCTTGTCGTCAGAGTATTTGATGGAACTCATTTGTACAGACACGTAACAGACATAAGGACTAGAACAGCAAAGCTTTTGAATGGTTCCAATACTTCAAAGAAAGTGTTTCGAACTGATAAATTTGTAAAACGCAAAGAAAGTTGTTGCTATTGGCAAGCACAATAAAATGAAAGCGCGTTGAGATTTGATTCCAAAGTGTTTGATTAAAAACTTACCAAACACCTTGGAATCTCGAACTAATAAGGGCCAAAGGAAGGCTCTTAGCCATTGCGATTGGTAGTCTGCTAAGGCCAATAATCGCTCCAAGATGATTGATGATAGGATGGAAGGGCTTGTTTGCTCGCCTGTATCCAGCACGGGCTCGCATCTTATTATTAGATCAAGAGCTAAGACCTTGCAATGATTTACAACCATTCGAAGCCTGACAAACTGAGATTTCAGAATTCCGATTGACCCATTAATAATGACTAGAATTTGTTCAACATTTTGTATATTAGCACTGCTGATTAGTGTCATCATAGGAGATTGCTAACTTAACTGATTTGATGTTGCGTGAGAAACAAAGCTAAACATTTACTAGGAGCCCATAGCACTTGCAACGTTCCTGGAACAAATCGACTTCAGTAAGGGAACCTTTGCAAAAAGTATGGGCCACCGATCGCCCATGTTGCCCGTTAGAAAGAACAATCTTTTTTTTTCATTTTACGATACACTCAAGGTGCATCGAAAACAAAAAGTAACTCAAAAACACAGGTAACATGGTATCAGCTATTCCAGATGGTTAAAGGAAGAAGAATAATTGCTGAATCAGGGCTCGGCACAGATGGCTTGGTAAGGAAGCTGGATATCGTTTTTGGGATAAAAAGCAAAGCAGGTTTCGTTTTTGTGGCCGAAAAGACACAAAATTAGGACGTTTTTTTGGTCGACGTTTCGTTTTTTAGAGATTTTTGAGATATTATGGTCTAGGGTCAGAGGGGACTTCGTAAACATTTGGAAAAGTCAAGGGGGACTTCGTGTATTGCATTTTTAACTAGCCACCTCGTGACTAGCCCTGTGCTGGATACGATCTCGCCTTTACTTTGATAATCGCTACTTGCAATTAAGAGCCAATAAATAGCCTCAAATGAATTATTTATAGAAGTCAGGGCAGTATTTTTTAGAGTAAGTCGTTGCAATAATATTTCCTCTCGAAGAAACAAGTTATAAACTTTATTTCAACTTTGAAGCTTAAGGCTTCTTTTTTTTCTAAGCATATAGCAACCCGAAACGAGAAACGTACAATGGTCAAGGAGCATTGATTCCATAGCCATTGAGGATATTTTCAATGCTTCCACGCTAAATGATCCATGCGCCTATCTGTTCGTTCCATCTATTGTCCACGATCCCCGGGCAAGATAAGAGCCGAACGCTTCCTCAATCAGCAGCCGAGTGCAGCCGGTAAGCTCGGCTGCAGCGGCGGTATCTCTCGCGAATCTCTGCCAAAATTTCCTCAAAACACTAGAATCTGCTTTTCTAAAAGTCCATTCTAGGCTTTTTACCCTCTCGAACTTTTCTTCTAGCATTCGCCCTTTGTGAATATGGAAGATGTTGTCAGTGATGATTAAAAAATAATGAATTTCTACTCTTGATAGAGAAATCATCAAACTCCTTTTCGTTCCATCTCCTAGACGAATAAAATTTTATAGTACATTTTGAAAATTTAGTACCAAACAAATCAGTAGGTCGGATCAAAAAAGCAAAATTCTCAAATCTTTTCGCAGAGACATCCGTAGTACCGGCTTCTTTTAACTGGAAAGTAGGCCATGAAACCAAGAGAAAACAAATTCAATTTTTAGTAGTCGTTCTAAAAATCCTCGCGAACAAAATTTCAGAGATCATTTTGGGTATGTCTCTCAATCAGTTTGCACCATTGTCATGCCAGTGAAGAATTTAGATTCAAGCACACGCGAAAAGCCAAGATTTTTCTTTACATATCAAATTTCAAAATTTGTTAAAACTAGAAACAGTAACAAATGAAATTCTACTGCCACAAGTTTGCATCAACTCAATAATCTGGAGTGATATTTTTTAACTTATAAACTGTCAAATTTTTGAAAAGCATTAGGTCCTTGGTTTTGATTAATAGAAGTGGTATAATCTTGTTACTTGTGTCTAAATTTTGTTGAAGGGGATGTATTGTATTCTGGAAAATTTAGTCTATTTTGTACTACAGACCCAAAATCAGTCTCTCTTTGCATCAGTCACATTTCTGATTGACAAACAAGATGACTAACACCATTAGCGAAGTTTAATCTCACCTTCATTGGGGTAAAATACGACCGACCCTGACTCGGTTTGGTGAAAGGTCATCACATCACATCATCCCAATTACACACAAGCTATTGAGTAATCAGTGATTCTAACACTCCGTATGATAATTGCAAAATTATTGAGGCTGAAGTTCGATGAGCATTAGAAACACCACAAAAAATAATCTCTTGGGTTAACAATTTCTTCTAATCACGGACCGCTTTACAGTCCATTGCGCCACCTACCCAAACAGAATGCCCAAGTTTTTTGTAGAATTTTGAAAAGAGGATTTCATATTCGCAATTCTGCTTTGCAATCTAAGCTTTCCTCGTACTAAAGCAAGTTGAAAAGTGGAGGAAATTGCAACAACGGACCATAAATAATGCTGCAAAGCTTGCAACAGCTTGTCGTTCTGAAATTGACCTAAAGTGTGTAAAAATTGGCAAACGAGCTGGTGTACAACCTCTCAGCTTATTGATGGACCTTGAGGATGTTCCTCTTTTTGCAACGATTCGTCAGTGGTAGCGTTTTCAGAAAGATATTTGACTATGGACATTCCCCATTTTTTTCATCATCCTACAGCATAAGTACTAACCGTTCTAAAAGCTCTTTCGTTTCATTTTTGGAGAATCGCGATTTTTTCTTTCCTATAAAATTCTCAGTATCAACATTTGTGCTGAAGTTGAGGACAGGTTTTAGAGCTGGAACAATGAACTTTTAATGCGTTATTTGACTCTCAAAACATTTTTAACCAGTAATGGTACGCATTTTGTGACTTTTTCATACTGACTGAGCAAATTTTGAGCTGATCTGCCTCCACCTCGAGATTTTGCACAAGAAGTGATAGGATTCGAGGCTTGTCAAAACTCGCATTTTGTGCTAAAAGTTTATTAGGAACATTTAATAGTAGAAAAGAATAGGTGACAATACTCATGATGCTGACAATTTCGAATTTCATTCGATTCTAATTTGTCGCAGGTTTTTTTCTTCTGGCAACCTAGATTGAGATGAAAGCTCAATTTAGTCTTTTTTGCCCTCTTCCATCTCATTCTCTTTTTATCAAAAATGACCAAGCTGATTCTTAAACAGAAAGCTACCCTTAGTTGCAAACTTATTATTAAAGCCAATCATTCATCGACTCAGAAAAAAGCTTCGACTTCCTTTTAAGAAGCAGCGGAACTGAGGAAAATTTAGAAAAAGCCCGCACTTCACAACAAAAGTTCCCTTTTTATTAGGTTTATATGGACACTGGCTGGCATAATATTTTTTGCATCTGCTTAGCAAAACAGATTTTATTCTAATTGTGTTGTGCACTCGGTCTCGATGAAGCACGAAGGCGATGGTTTCTGCCAAAACTAGGCAAGATACATTTTTGATGTAAAAGATGTTTTGAAGCAGTGAGTGCTAAAACAGTGATTGAACCTTTTGCGCGTACATCAACGAGCTCAAAAACGGAATTTGAAACTTGGGTCATTACTATCTGAGCAAGAAAGATACTCTGAAAATATCGGTGCTCAGTTATGTCAAACGATCCATAGCTTTTCTTCACAAAAATTCGTTCAACTCAAAAATTGCTAATGAGAGCATAACTACGAGCTTATGGAACATATATCAATCGGTTCTAATGTTATCCTGTTTCGCCTCTACCCCTAGACAGGGAACTCAATAAACGTATGAAACAGCTTCCACGCTTGCCACTCATGCTCCTTTTCTCATCACATGAAATCGCAAGATATAAATTTGGAAACAAACAAAACAAGCGCTAGATTGCGAAGACAAACAAGCTTACCGTTCGTCGGCGCAAAAGTCCTTGTCGGGGGCTGCCGGGCACAGTGTCAGTGGGCCAGTTTCTTCGAAACGGGGAAGGCCGTCTAGAGTTCGAACCCTTCCGCGCGGGGCAAATTACACACTATTCTACTGCTCTGGTTCTTTCTTCTCTGCGTGCTTGTTGACACGAACTTTGTTTGGCAGACCATATCATCAGCTGTAATATATTTAGGGAAACTGAAAACCAGCACTCCATCACCGATGGGGCGGTCTTGGCCTATAAAACGAAATTATCTGAGCTATTATCGTGTAGCCAGCTATAAAAACATGTTGCCCATAGCTTGTTATCTACATCATTTTTCAGGCTTCCTTTCATTCTAATCACTTCAAATGTTATTCTCTGAAGATACAATCACAGCCAATACTGATCTTTTTTTGATTATTTAAACATCCTTTGAAACCTATGAACACCGATAACGAGCTATGAGAGCTCCATGACTTGCACATATTTGACCCCTACCAAGAACTTGCACCGAACCGTGCTATAAGCTAAAACTCAAGATAATTTTGCATGTTTTACCGCATTCGGGGAGGAACTAACGTACTGAAAAGACCTTTAACTTTTCTTCTTGTAAAGGCAACTCTATAGCGAATTTTTTCCTTTTTTCTGGTTCTGACTAGCATATCAGCTTTTGGATAAGTGCCCTTCTCTTAATCTTCTTCTTCTACGATGCTTGTCTCGTCTCTTATGCCTCCATCATTTGGCTATCCTGAACCTTCGAACTACATCTTTTTTCAGAACATGCAAAATATCACTCTAGCTCTTCTTGTGTTCGCCGTAGCTGTCAGTGCTTTCAACGTCCGAAAGAACTTTGGCGATGATGAACTGGTGGGTTTATCTATGTGAAGGTATTGCAGAAATCAGAAAATTCAGTTCTACTGCAAATTAGCTTTTTGCGCAAATTTCTTACAAAAAAAAACAGAGCAAATAACAATAACTCCTACCCAAACATTCAATAAAGCAAATTTTGGTGGACATTCTTCAACCCCCTAAGTCTGGTGGTCAAAAGCCAAGGGTAAAGCATTACAATCTTCTTGCAAATTAAACTACGATCCGATCACCTACATAATTAATGGATATATGTTTGAAAAATCGATATGCAGTAGGGCAAAGTTACTACTTCTCATCCATAATCAACGGATGCATGGTAAATTCATTGCTATTAATCAAAAACTTTTAATATTTCTTAAAGATTCTATGAATATACGGTTGACTTTGCTTGGTCTTTGCTTCCATATTTACAGATCTTAATGTGCAATATTTCAGTTAGTCCGAGTAACTAGAAGTAATTCCTCGGAATCAAATGAAGGTGAAGAGCTCAAGCAAGTGGGTGATGTTTTCTGAGTCAGAATTCACTTTTTGAGTGTTATGTTTTCTCTTTAAACAAGAATTGAATCTCATTTTACAGATCAAGAAAACAGTAGAGGTTGAAGGATCAGGCGAAGAAAGACCACTTCACGTCCATGATGTCCATCGCCTGAAACGTAGCGCTAACGATTCCTCATCGTCCGAAGAGGAGAAGGAGAAGAAGGTGAGTTGTTTGTTTGTTTTCATATTTCTGATCAGATCATAGTCAATCAATTAGGTCACGCTTGAAACTACCACTGAAGGATCAGGAGAAGTAAGTGACTTTGAAACTTGATTCAGCTTCATTCTATTCTAAAAAATACACTTTGCAGATCGTCACCGCACAAGTCCGAGAAGCACGGGAAGCCGAAGAAGAGTCTTCCGGAGAGGTACAAACTTTTCAACCTTTTCAGCTGGTGCGAGAGGGGTCAAGCCATATGATCAGGAGAAATGAATATAGAAAATGCTTCAGCCAAACACTTTTTAGGCTCCAAGTACAACTATCTCCTCGGTTGCAGAAGCCATCATTGCTTCCGCCGAAAAGAACCAGACAGAGGTTAGTCAGAGTTTTCTATGGAGATTGTCTGATTGTAGATCTTTCAAAATTTTTAAGATGCTTAGGGTTCGTTATATTATGAGAAATACTTCAGCGTAGTACTTGTTCTGACAGAATTCTTTTTTAGGCCGTAGTAGTGAAGAAGGAATCGTCAGAAGAATCAAAAGAGGTACGATAGAACCTTCACCGTTCCTCTATTATATGTCTATTTTAGGAAAAGAAAGTAGAAGACCTGAGCGGTGTTAAGCGCATGAAGCGAGCTGCCGATAAGTCCTCATCATCCGAAGAGGAGAAGGAAAAGAAGGCAAGTCGATAAACATCATTCTAACATGAGCTATTACCAATACTAATTTTTAGGCCACAAGTGAATCGACCACTGAAGGATCAGGACTACTGAGCGAGGTAATTTTGATGAAAATCGAAAATCGTACCAGAACTGTCCAGAAACAAAGTTTCAGTTTTCTACAACAACACCACTTCGACTTGAACGCGATGTCGACATCAAGAGCGGGGAGTCATCTGGAGAGGTAAATTTTCCAAAACATCCATCATCATGGGGTAAAACTGTTTTTTTCTCTCTAAGGGACCCTCTGCCATTCGTAAAAATATGACTTACTACTCGATAGTTTTCAGCTCTTGTTGAACCCATAATTTGATGAATAAAAAATAAATGTTCATTTATTTTTAACAGGCTCCACTAAACGCAACAGTTGTCGCAGAGGAGAAAGAGGTGAGGAGCTTGGACAAAAATTTAGAAAAAAATCTGATAGAGAAAATCCACGCAAATGAAATAAGGTCACGCAAGGTCTTTGATACTTTGATTTCTACACACTTTGCTGCAAAAACTACAATCACAGCGTAAAACAAAAAAATTGAGGAGGAGGGGAGGGGGGTCGTTGAGAACAATTCGACTGTCTGGGACAGCAACTTCGTTACAACATAGAAAAACTGGGAGTAGGACTAGTCTGAAAATGAGATTGAACCTCGATTTCTATTCTGTTGGTATCGGAAAAGTAGTCGAGAGAAAAATTTAATTGAACTCATAGTTTCTTAAGTCATATGAGTTTATTCAAAGGAGCTAAATCTTTTTCTAGTGATAAGAGTAGGTTAGTATCTAATTACCTTGATAGTAAGTTCCGAGATTTTGAAAGGAGAAAAACCTATGGATAAGGGATTCCTGGAAATGTTAAGGGCGACATGTTTTTCTAACCATCGTTGCCAATAAATTATGAAATTTGTTCAAATAATTTTATAACTGATGGAAATACAGCTTTTTTGAAGCTTTATAATATGATTAAGTGCCGAGCCGTTTTGAAAGAAAGAACTTTTCAGGGACTTCTCCGAAATATGCGTGAGGTTGAAGGATCCGGTGCTGATGTCTAAACGGTGTAGTGCTTCACTGCAGAAGACTGGGAAGCTCCTAGCCACGCTCCCTATGCTAAAGAATCCGTGATAGCATGTTAATCTCAAAAACCAGTTCAATGCTCACATGTTGGTTTTACATCTTGCCCATTCTGACATAAGACACCAACGATGCTTTATTAGTATTTTAAGAGCTCATCTAATGTGCTTCTATTACCGTCGTGTGCTTCTGTAGCGGTAGATATGTGCTGTACATATTTAATTTTTGGGGTTACTCTCAATAAACTTTACAATATCTACGTTTTTTTGAGAATTTGTCACCCAGGATAATATGAAATTCATCGCTGCCTAAAAAAACTTTTAAATGGTGAAATTATAAATTTTCTACAGATTTGTCAAATTTGGGTTAACGGAAGTCCAATAGTCTAACCCAAATCTGCAAATATGTAATTCTTCCAATTCGAACGAAATCACCCCATTTGAGTTACCCTTCAGTCCAATGAGATTGGCTGCTGGAAGGCGGGCTTCGAGGCCTAATCAAAGCTAGGAAATGGTCAGAGAGCACGCTCACGAGAGAGACGCAGTGCGTCGCGGGTGCGAGCGGTCGTCCTCCAGCCGCATGAATCCCGTTGAATCAAAGGATACTTTCGAAACTTAAATTCAAGCTGAGCAAGAAGTATCAAGATCTCGGAATCATGTGATGTCCCCGATACGGATCTAATATATACTCTTTGCAACAGGAATGTTCGAAAAATTTGTGAGATCCAAATGCCTCCACGAAGTAACGATTTTCAAAATTTCTTCTATAGTTTGATTTTGTGTTAAATATATTATATTAACTGACGCACAATTCTTGCATAAAAAATTATAAAGAAATCGTTCAAGAAATGCTTAAGACTACTCAGTTATGTATATCGAATGTGGTATTTTGTAGTACAGTTTAGAAAATCAATTTGAAACAAAATTAATAAGTCGAACTCGAAAATCGAAACTACTCGTAGAGACATCCGATCATTGCCATTTCTCTTGGTCAAAAAGGGTCATAAAACCAAGACCAAAAATATGTAAATTTAGATTTCAGTAGACGTTTGAGGAGATTCAGCGCCCTAAATGTATAAGATAGTGCAAGGCTTTATCTCTCTAATACGTATCAGATCAGAAGATCTCATTTGAGCTGAAAAAAGTAATGGAATTTTGAAATTTTGGTGCAAGAATTATGCACCAGTCTAATGTAATAAACTGCAACTGCAGCATATAACATTAAATCTATCTTTCAACCTTGATTCCCGCTACATCAGCTGTCGCTACACATACGCATACAAACGTTTATTATATAATTGAGAAGTTCCTACAACTTTAAATAGTATTTTAAGACTTCTTTGTAAAAGTTTTTCGGACGTTAGGAAGTGCAAAAACCTTTTCACCCAGATTGGAGCTGGCAAACCTGCTTTTAAGCTTCGACTGGAAGAGAGAGCGACTAGTCTGTTGGCAGATATGCTCAAGAATTTATGGCGAGTGAGGGGTGCCATGAATTAGCAATACAAGCGCATATGTCAAGCATAACTCTAACTAGTACTTTTGTCAACAAATGATGTGCATACAGCCCCGTTCGGCAGTAGACAGTTGATGGAGCGGGACTGGTTGGTAGCATTAAAACTCTTTTTCTCTATTCTGCTACGTCATTGTAAATCTTATGTATGTATGTAGTAGATATAGATTGCCGTGAACGCACGACTTGCAAGATTACAGATTAGCAACAAGCCTCTTCATAGCTGGTACTACAATATAGGGAAACTAATGAAAAAGCGAATGTCTCACATTCATTATGAGCTTGTGTAAGATGTTAGTCACACTTTTTACGTGCTTTTTTCAACATTTTTTGCTTTGATTGGCGAAGTGTACGTCTAGCAGCCTACTTCCGGTTTCCTTTTTGAAAAATCTGTAAGAAAAAATTCCAGCTGCAAAGCAATTCAGATTGCCGAAGATTTGTTTTTGACATTTTCCTCTTCATGAATAGATACAAGGCAAAAAAGTTTTTTTTGTAATTGCACTGTCGTGTTCATATCTCTGGAACAAATCAAACATAAGTCCAATGTCCAGCAACATCTGCGCCATATTTCAGCTCATTTGGAAGGCCATAATTGCACATCAACATTTTGCGTATTGTAAAAAAACGGTGATGAGTTGAAAAGCGAATCGATATACATATTATACTTCAGTTAGTAATGACAGATTCTTTACGTAATGATATCTGACTAAAAAGAATTGAAAGAATGGATACCACAAACTTTTTTCAAATTCAAAGAGTCAACAGATGAGACATTGTTGATTGAAATCATAAACTCGATTTGAAAATATTAATCAGTTCGATGCTCTTTTCAATAATTAGTAGCTTCCAAAAGCGAGCATAGAAATTGGGACAGGGAAATTGTTGGTTTGAGCAGTAAGTTCATTCGCGTCGTTTTCAAAGATTGTAACTTCTTTCTCATACTGTCATCTTGCACGAGAAAATAACATCAGGAAGAGTAAAGCGTATATTTTCTAAGAACACTTTGATTGCTCTTTACTAAGCTTTGATTGCAAAGATAAAATCCAGAAAAGGAAAACACTTTGGGATTTCGAGGCCAGCCCGTTAAAACTTCCAAACCTTTGCCATAAAATCCAAAACGGCTGTATAGAATATCTGAACGCCCCTTTCTAGCGAAGCAAAATTCGCGCTCATTGAGCTGTTTTTTGAAAAGTTATGATTTTTGAGGAGAAATGTCATAAAATTAATTTTCTTAATAAACTGATTTTTTGGCATTCTTTTGCGCAAATCATAACATGAGAAGAGCTTGGTTAACGCGAAATTTGCTCCGCTAGAAAGAGGGATCAAAAAACCTAGGTTACTACCTGCTTGAGTTTCATGGCACAGATTTGGGATTTTTAACGGGCTTGCCTCAAATTTCCGAAATTGAAGTGATTTCCTTTGGATTAAAAATTTGCAACCAAAGCTCAGTAAAGAAAAGGCAAAATGTTCTTCAAAACTATTCGCTTCCATCTTTTTGATTTTATTTTTCTCGCGCAAGACTATCATAAGAGAAGGAAGTTACGAATTTTTGAAAAGAAGCTTAAACTTTCGGTTCAATCTAATATAAGCAGTTATGATGAAGTAAGGGGGACCTCGGTGGAGCTTAATCATTATTGTGAGTTCATGCGATCTGGTATGACTTATCGCACATCCCCATCCCTGCAACTGACTCTAAAATATGGTCGATTCCCATTCTAACTCATCGAGTAGCTAATGAAAAATGGATAAACATTTGATATGTATCTATAGTTACTTTCAAATATGTACCTCTGAATATACAGTTTAGAAGGATGTTTGAGGCGTGTGTAATATGTGAAAAATCTCAGAATCGCATGCTCATCAAAACATTAGAGACTCCAGATCAGTCGATTTGCGCTCAGATAATGAATTCGCCGAAAAAAACCCTATCTTAGAATTACAAATTTACTTTTGTTTCTTCTGCCAGCATTTTCATGAGAGAGTTGCGGATATTAGGTGTTTGGCCCTTATTTCAAATCAATACATAAGTAAAAAATTTTAATTAAGCATTGTGAAGCAAAATCTCGGAATAGTTCCGCACATTCCTGCTTCATGTATTCAATATTAATGCTTCTAAGAAAACGATGTTGATATTGGAGTTATCTCAAAGGCACAAATAATTTTAGGAAGTACCTGATTGTGTCCGCGCTCCCTTCAAGATTAAGCTAGCAACTTTTGGTTAGAAAAATTTCTATTGGTGCCGAAAATCTTTTCATATGTCAAACAATCAAACCTTCTTGAATTTTCGATAGTTTTGGTAATATTCGAAGGCATAGGAGAATTTCACATCCTTTTTTGAGTCGTAAGTTCTCTATACTTTCATCAATCCAATCGCCGACATCAACAGCCATCTCGTACCTGTAATCAATCGCCATAAAGTGCCACAGGAATAACCCTGGGACATCTTGCTCAGGCAAAAGGCACAGATTTGACCCGCATACGCCCCCAATCTTTCCTCAAGCAAGGCGAGATGATATAAATTGATGGATAAGTCGACAGAGTACCATTACCTTCGCATGCTGTTGTCCTTTCAACCCACAAGATCATCTTCCCATTCAGATCAAAAGATCTGCTGATATCTCCATTATCTTATTCCTGCTGTGTTCTCTCTCTGTATAACTTTTTGAAAAAAATTTCGAGTATTAATATAAATGCTGTTTCTCGCTTCTTAATTGGTGATTGGCTAAATTTTCATTATTTATAGACATGCAAAACACCACTGTTGCTCTTCTTCTTTTGGCAGTCGCTGCCACCGCTTTCAATATCAGGAAGGCTGAGGTAAAAATGGTTGTTCATTTTTTTCTTTTGGAATTAATTCGATAAGATGCGCAGTGACGAACAAAAGGTGATCTATGCATTTTCTGAAGGAAATCTGGGATTTACGATTCCATGTTGTCATTTTCGAATATGCCTTGTTTGCAAATATCTCTAAGTGAGTAGTTTTGCTGGAGCAGACACTTTTTCTACTTTCAAGCAAGAAGAGAATATTAGAGATTAGTCAGATGATATACAAGATACAAAGACAATTCATTCTCTTAAGAACGAGGAAAGCTCAGGCGAAGGATCAGGTGAAATTAAACGATACAAGCGAAGCCCTGATGATTCTTCTATGTCTGACTCAGAAGGATCTGGAGAAGTGAGTTGATCTTTACATAAGCTTTGATGCTTACGTGATCATCTGATATTACAGACGGAAGCAATGGCAATGCTAATGGGTGATGAAGCTGACAGCAACAGCACCGAGGAATCGTCTGGAGAGGTGATTTGAATTTGTAATAGAAAGACATTTCTTTTCTGATATTTGAGCAACGGCATATAATTATGTCGAGAAAGAAAAGCAAAATGGCTATAATTCTAGGAATCCGGCAAACCAAAATATTCAATAATCGCAGCGATTGTCTCAGCTACTATTGAGAAGAATCAAGTAAGTGCTTTAAGATTTTCAAACCGCGAATCTGATTTGACAGAATTTTTTCCACTTTAGACTTCTGGCAATTCGACTACAAACATCGTCGCTGCTGTTGTAGCGGCTAAGATAGAGAAGAACGAGGTTAGTATTTGCAAATTTTACTAAAAATGAGAAATGTCTAGGACTTTGTTCACAACACGGATCTATGAAAGAGTGGAAGTTTAAGTTGCTGTTAAGTTGCTTGTTAAAATAATTTTTTGACTCTCAAGATGATGTGGAAGAATTTTTCATTAAACATGATTATTGTATGAGTAAAATAAAAATAGTTATCTATGACAAAAAAATTCTAACTCGCCTCTTATCCCTATGTCTATGTTTATTTATGAATTACAGGACTCGTCATCAGAATCTGAAGAGAAGGCTGATCAAAAGAAGGTGGGAATACGAATGATTTTCTTGTTGATGTCAATTCGGATGCAACGTCCAGTTCTAAACAATTGAAGTTTCAGGAGAAGAAGAGCGATGAGAAATCAAGCGAAGAGGAAGCATCTGACAACAAGCGCTCAAAGAGATGTGCCGAACCTACAAAGGAGAAGCCAAGATTGGTAAATAAGGTAACTAAAAATTTGCTAATTGTGAGCAATTAACTGAAAAATTGCTTGTAGATCAACGCGGAAGGATCAGGAGTAGAGATGAGCGAAGAGTCGTCCGGAGAGGTATAACATTTCCTTCACTTGTTTCAAAACATTGCTATAATTTGGGCAAAAGAGTGGACCATATAAAATTGAGCAAAAAATGGAGTTTTGAGCTAAATACAAATAAATTTAGGCTTCACAAAACGCGGAAGGTTCCTCTGTAGAGCAGAAGGAGGTAAATTCTTTCTCTAGTATCGAAGAGAGTAAAAACCTTTAGCATTTAATAAATTTAGTGATTTAGTTGTCTTGATGAACTAGTTTGCTATTTGTAAAAGTTATACTTGCAATTTATTTTAGCAGAAAATAATTTTCTAGGCTTGATTATTTGGCTTCAACATAGTCATCCGAACCGCTTAAACTATTGGAGTGACTTTCTAATCTACAAATTATTTCAGGCACTTCCAATCATACGTGATGCCGGTAATGCTTGAGCAAGAAGCAGACATTCTCTCTGTCCTCAATGATCTCCTCTTTACTTCTGGATGATACAAAGATGCATGTTTGATGCTCAAACACCGTTTTTTTTTCACCATACATTACACCTCTGGTTCCTTACGGTTGTGATTTTTCGAGGGTGCTGTGAATACTTGTAATTTTTGGTGCCCCTTTCAAATAAAAGTCTTGAACTTAAAATTGCTCTTTGTTGTATATCGATCTACAGCTATTGGAGATTTGTCAGCTTTTAAGAATTGAAATGTGAGAGTCGAGGTTCAGCGGTGTCTACGGAAAACGTCTTGTCCTCGGAGAGCGTATGTACCCAAATTGCTTCTTGTCATCTATGATGCATCACTCAGATGCTGCCACCGTTTGTAACAAGATGACTTATATGAGTAACAGTATTTACATAGTCACATAGGGGGCTAAAGAGCCCTCACTACTGCTGCAAAATCCTCGGGCAATGTCTGAAGGCCTTGGTGATCAAAATTTGCGGTTCTCTCCATATCGAAACAATTCCGATGCTTGTCTTTGGACACGAGAAAGGTTCCGCACATAGTTAATCTGTGTGCTATATAACAAGGTGTAATGGCAATTATTCGACATAGCATTTTGTCTGCCTACCATTACAAGCTTTGGTGCTAATTCGTTAAGCAATCAAGACTTCTTTGGCCCTCGGCTGATTTACACTGTACTTTGTGAGAGCTCTTTTGGAGACGTGAATACTTGGAGCAAGATTGTTGAATGTTGTTAGATGCTGTTTGTTATTGAAATTTCAAACAGTTTATGAGTAATTGGCCTCATTGGAGAATTCAGCCAATAAACTGTTGAAGCCCTTTTTTGCAAAACGGCGAGCCACTGAGAGTCAAAGACCCATTACGAGTAGCAGATGCAAACTCACACCTGGAATATGATCACAGTTTGCTCCTTCTTATTGTTACGATATAAAATGCTCGTAAGACTGGGAATGACCGAGTGCTCGGTCGACTATAAATTCGAGGTGGAAAATGTCGCAGCATACAGACAGACGACACTTTTTCAGATGATTTGTAACATCTCACTGTTTTCTTCTGAAGATGGAAATCGTATTTTATCATTTATTGCTCAGGATCTTTTGGATAGGGATGATGTGAGAAATGATTGATATATGAGGAGTAAGTGACTGATGTCTCACTTATAGCATGGTTTTTGCAAAAAAAGGAGTCAAATAAGTTGCGACAACGGATTTTCTACACGTTGATCAACAGGATTTGAGAATTCATATGAGATTAGTTGTTCTCAAAAGCCAGTGCGAGAGATCAGAATAAAAAGTTGCAACTAAAACTGAAATGTAAGCTTCTGTATGCAGAAATGCTTACATCGCCTTTTTACCCTTTTATGAAGATATTTCCATCAACGCTCTTTCCTACTCATCTATAACCACCCGTTTCTTCGCGATCATTTCTTACAGCTACGTCACCCTCTGTGTGCAATAAACAAACTCTGTGGACTTTGTTTTCAAAGTTTGACATCATTTTAGCGCGTTAGCGGTTTTATTTTCTCATTCGAGTACATTCTTACTTTGACTTTCAGCAAACACATATGCCAATGGCAGACACAAAAATGCGGCGAGCACTAAGAGATTAACCGCAAGACCATCGACAAAAGCATATAAGGTACCACTCAAATGTGGCATCCAGTCCACGATGAGTACTTCAAATATGGCGTCAAGGACTTTGAAAGCAACGCCTTCTGTTATTCTGGTTAACATCATTCACATGAGCTGTCTATTTAAAACTATTCTATTCAAAACTATTGTCAACTATACTCTATTACACTACATTTGCTATTATTCAGTATTCATCTATTATTCGTATTCTATTATCTATTATTCGCCTCGAGACCGGCCAGGGTAAGTCCCTTTGATTTAGTGAGGGATTCTATCGCACATTGACGTTCTGTCCCGAGCATATAGAAGTTTTGCCTTGGAGAGATGGAGGGTGGGAAAGTGCAATCCATTTCATATCGTCGTATGTGCCATTGCACACAATATCCACTTTTGCCGTTTTCAGGCTGGATTTTTTGAGCACAACATTTTTTTGAGCTCCTCCTGATGACTGATTTTGGTGTTCTTCGTGTTTTCTTCCCCTTTTAGATACGAGTGCCCTTCAAAGTAATGTAAGCGGTAACAAGTCAATTTTCTGCAACCGAAAACCCATTATGGGTGTCATGATAAAGACACGACCCGAACTTAACTCTTTGTGGTAAATTGTTTACATTTCATTATGTTACTCATTTCTGGCACAAAAAGCCTGCCACATGGCTGACTCTTTGTGCTCATCGGCCAGCCTCCTCTGGGCCGATATTCCCGCACTCTTCACATTGTCGTGTGCCGGATCCATCTAATCCCTCTAGTGTTGACAGGGGCACGAAAAGGGCAAAAGAATCCCACTGAAACACCACAATTTTGGTGCATCGGCCGGGAAACAAAACCCGCCGAATTTTTTCTACAGGTCAAATCCTGTACATCTTGTCAAAGCAAGATGGAATTGGTGTTGCTGAAGAATCCGCTCACCATTAGCGCCAAGACGCAAAAACGCTAATAAACACATTCGAATATACAAAAAAACCAGTTTGTTCCTCAGACGACGAAAAAACCTACGATGAAAGCGAAGCAGCCGCGGATCTGATAAATCAGGCGGTACAGCAAATCACTGTTGCAAAAAAATGAACTGAAAGCCCTTGTCGCTCAAATCAAAACAGAGTACGACAAAATACAACTACCGGTTGAGAAAAAAGGCTTCTCCGATGCCTTGAAGAAGCTCGAGATACGAATTTCAATGAAGGTCTAGGCGCAGCAACAGAAATGATTTTTATGCTTCAGACTAGGCTAACCGAAGTAATCAGCACCCGGAACAGACGGCCGCAAACTAGGACTCAATATACCTACACAACAAAACTGCGCAAACTAGGACTCAATATACCTACACAACAAAACTGTGTATCAATTGCAAACGAATTTCCAACTCAAGATAACGACCATGAGCAACAGGAAGTCACCGCGGGAAACGGATGAATATTAGAAGATAGCAATGATAGCACCGATGTAAATATACAGACAAACCGGAATGATAGCACCGAGGCAAATCAAGCACAAAGGATACAAACCTGTAACAATGTGAAGACTCCCGCGCTGGAGGTGCCCAAGTTCTACGGAGTCGAGGAGGATTTCCCGGAATTCTGGGCAATTTACGACACGTTAGTTCATCGAAACACCACGCTCAGCACGATGGAAAAAATGCTGTTTCTGAAGGACAGCCTAAAAGGAAAGTCTGACAATGCGATTAAAGGCATTCAGCTAATACCACAAAATTATGGATGGATGATTGATGCTTTGAAAAAGAAATATGGTAACAAGCCAATAAACAGGGCAAGAATAGTTCAATAAAGACACGACCCGAACTTAACTCTTTGTCCTAAATTGTTTGCATTTCATTATGTTACTCATTCTTGGCACAAAGAGCCTGCCACATGGCTGACTCTTTGTGCTCATCGGCCAGCCTCCTTTGGGCCGATATTCCCGCACTCTTCACATTGTCGTGTGCCGGAGACAAGACACCGGCTTATTTTGTTGCTGAATAAATCCATCTAATTCCCTCTAGTGTTGACAGGGACATGAAAAGGGCAAAAGAATCCCACTGAACCACCACAATTTTGGTGCATCGGCCGGGAAACAAAACCCGCCGAATTTTTTCTACAGGTCAAATCCTGTACATCTTGTCAAAACAAGATGGAATTGGTGTTGCTGAAGAATCCGCTCACCATTAGCGCCAAGACGCAAAAACGCTAATAAACACATTCGAATATACGAGGATGGAGGATACGTAGTTGCGGTGGAGTTGGGCTTGACGAACTGGGTGCAATCTTGAGACGTGAAAGATATGTAGTTGTGGTGGAGTTTTGGGCTTGGCGAGCTGGAGAAGATCTAGATCAAATATTTTATTATCTTAATATAACAAACCAACCCCTGCTAGGATATGGGTATAGTGAGTGGTACTCGATGCCATATTCGAGCTGATGCGTCAGAGCAGACGCATAGCAGACGCATATCGCCTTTCACGAATTTGATTGACTGGTATCTCATTTTAAAAATGATATGCTTAACGCGCGTCTGTTCTTGCGCAAGAAGATGTCACCCTGGCTGCGTAAAAGGGTGATAAAGCCGCTTCTTCAGCCATTTGCATATTTCTTTCTTACTTTTTTGAGATTATTGTCTATCTTTTTCTCTTGCTTGGTCGCTATTTATGTTGTCATTTGAGAATTAACGAAAGATGTCTGCCGTTAATGCAGTAGCGCCCGTGAGAAGCAACCAGGTGAGTATTTACAGATATGTTTATCGCATTCCTTTTTACCTTGAGGGTTTTTGTGGCTGTTTTGTAAATATTATAAAATAACGAAAGGGAGACGCTGCGGCCAGAAAGGGAGAGGCTGATGCCCGAAGGATAAGAATTTTGTTCCATGTTATTTTGGACAATTTGAAAAGTATTTTTATTCTAGCAGATCGATGACCTGAAGGCGAAGTTGGCCAAGAAGACCAGGGCTGCCAACAACTACTGGTCCTACTTGAAAAGATGGCGACGGCATTATGAACTGATCACGACGATGGCATCTCAAGGGACGATTGACATCGACGAGGGTCTTAGCAACTCTAATTTTGTGATGGTTGTTTTTTTGTTTGTTAAATCTTGTAATAATTCAAAAACATATTGTAATTGATATTGCAGTGTAATAATATTGTAATAATAAACATTACGGAACAATCTGTAATTTGTGCAAAGACTCACCATAGCTTGTTGGGTCGAGTGGTGATCGAGTCCATGGATTGAACGTTGGAGCTTACATCTGCAACCAGGATTTGGGTTTGATTAGTAGGCGTAAGATGGGTTGTAAGTTCTGAACTAACCTTTCGCCGTTTAAACGGCCCATTCTGTTCCCTGCTTGGGCATAGCAGGACGTTATGCAGCCTGCCGCAAATGGGGCACGTTACACCACAATCTTCGTGGTGCTTCGGTTAAAGGCACGTTTCGCAGGGTCCAAGGG